TCTTTATGGATAATCAATGTACCTTATGTTTATTAGACTCGTACAATTTTACTTTAAGAGATTATTACTTAATATGAGATAGGCAAAGCAATCATCAGGCTGAAAACCATTATGTTTCCTCTGTAACTTACCTGTCAGTATTCTGGCTAAACCTCAGAATTTCCAGGTTGTATATGTTTTACATATTCTTTAAAGCCTGTGTGCTGATTAGTTTTTGTGAACTTGTCACAACGAGCGATACCTAGGAAGGGGGGACCTCAGTTGAGGAATTACCTTTATCACATTGGTCTTAGCCATGTCTGTGAGGCATGTTCTTAATTGTGAATTGATGTATGAGGGCCCAGCCCACTGTGGGTGGTATCATCCTTAGGCAGTGGGCCTAGGATGTATAAGAGATGTAGCTGAGAAAACCAGAGGTGCAAGCCAGTAAGCAGTGTTCTTTTGTGGTCTTTGCTTAGGTTCCTAGCTTGAGTTTCTGTCCTGATGACTTCCTCAGTAATGGACATGTAGGCCCAAATAAATCCTTTCTACCCCAGTTGGATTTCAGTGTGTATCACAGCAACAGAAAGCAAACTAGGATAGCCTACCTCGTATTACATACTAGCACCTCCAACACTGGGTAGTATGGCAAAGAAAAATAAATAAACAAATAAACAAATAAATATATTAATAAATAAATGTTATAGAATGTAATTTCAGACAGAGGGGCATTTGAAGATCTTTTAATCCGGGATTTTCCCTTCAGCTCTCTCCCCTGTGATGAGGTGACTGAGGGCCTTGAAGTTAAGGATTATATAATGTTCAAGTGTTCCCAGCCATAGGCATAGCTGATTGCAGTGTGACTTGGATCCCAGGTTTCCTAGTCTGGTTCAGGACTCCATGATTTACTATAGAATAGAATGAATTGCCCAGTGATAGTACGCCAAGCTTCCCTCTAAGATTTTTAAAGTTGATAGTGGGAAGAGACTTATGGTTTATCCATGCTAGAAACCAAGGACAGAGCAGGCAAGACTCTGAGAAGTAGGTGTGAAAATAATACATACTTTTAAGAGTCAGAGGAGAAATAAGACATTCAAATATTTAGCTGAATGATCTGCATACAAAAGTTGCAATAAATGTTACTATTACTAATGGTAATCATAGATGTAAACATTCCTGAATATCCTTACCAACCTGCAGTCAGTTCCTCATATTTTGCTATTTCTACCACCTTCACCTTTTCCTTGCTCTCCAAACACTCTTACATACACTTGACTTTGGTGCTCCTACCCTGTAACACAATTTTAGCCCCTAAATCTTTGTGTGGACTCTGCCTTGATTGCTTGATTGCTGCCCAGCTGTGATGGTCAGCTTTTCTCCATCTCGACAAAATTCCTGAGACCAAAAGCTTACAGGAGAAAAGACTGATTTTGGCTAATGGTTTCAGAGGCCCCAGTCCATGATCAGCTGCTTCTGTTTATTTGGGTCTGAGGTGTGGCAGAAATCATGGCACCTGGGTGAATGGTAGAGGAGGCTTCTTATTTCATAGTATCTAGGAAGCAGAGAGAGACAGGCAGGATAGGGGATTCGGTTTACCTTTTAAAAACACACTCTGCAATCTGCTTCCTCTCACCAGGCTGTCGAACGCCCCCCAAGCCCACCAGGCTTGGGTCTTTAACAAAAGAAGAGTCAAGACAAAGGCCTTGATTTTATTATAAAAAGTTTAATTCCTAGCAGTCAGGTGAGCAATCACAGAATGGCTTATTGTTGTGAGGAACACAGATCTTATATAGGAATTAGATTTGGGGTAACCAAGGAATCACCAAGGATATATTACTAACAGAAAGTAAGTACGGCCGCAGCACATTGCTGCATTACCTCACCAACTCCAGTGCCCAAAGACCAAACCAAAACTAACTTTCTAAAAGACCTGATTTATCATGGAGGCACAGCCTCTCAGCTCAAACCGCTAAAGCAGAGAGCTCAAACGCTCTTAAAATGACACTTCTTTTTTCCTATGCTCATGTCAAGCATGGCTCTCGACACCAGGCACCACCTTTCACTTCTTCACTCATTGTGTGATAACATATTGATGCAGTTAGCATCCTCATGATCCAGTCATCTCTCAATGCCTGGGCCACCAGCTTGGGGACATACTTTTAACCCATGAGCCATTTGGGGAACATCCCATATCTAGACCATAGCACTAGTCTATTCTGCTCTGCAAACTCATTCCTTAAGATTGGCTCACATATCCTTTAAGACATGCATTTCTGAGGATTCTCAATTAGATAATTGACTATGGTTTCTTTGTAGTAGCTCTTCACAAGTTATCTGCTTCCTGAAATCACAAGGCCTTTCAGGGCAAGAACTTTTTTTTTTCTAAGCTCTCTGTACTCAACCTCATCCTTGAATCATCATAAACATTTAATACACGTTAAAATGAATACTTGAATGAATTATGAACTATGCTTTCTAACCAAGTTCAGCCTGTCCTCTGCTGATCATAGCTGTGGATTTTGACACTTTTTGGTTTAGTAGAAAAGAGGGCGACCATCCCTTACTACATGCATTCAATTTCCCTCTTCAATAGAACAAAAGTAAGATTATTTTGCTTGATTCTCCGTTGCCATCTGGTGGATAAAAAGGTACCTGCATGTGCATACTTAAACCATGTTGAAGATTATTCCTGCTTATTAATATGGAAGTTTAAAAAAATATTTATTTTATTTGTTGTGTATTGCCTGCATGTGTGTAAATGCACCTGTGTCGTGCAATGCCCGCAGAGGTCAGAAGAGGGCATCCAATCCCCTGGAACTGGAGTTACAGACTGATGGTTGTTAGCCACCATTTGGGTGCGGGGAATCAAACCCAGATCCTCTACAAGAGCATTCAGTGGTCTTAATCGCTGAGCCATCTCTCCACTCCTTAATATGGAAGTTTTTTACTGTGTCTAGGCAGACTTCAGAAGCATAGTAAAGAACTTTCTTTTAATTATTCAGTTCTTGTGTATGGTGTCTTAATATTTTAAAAAGTGGGACAATCATGAATATGTTTAAAAAAATTAATTTGGCAAATAACATGTATGTTATTAAATATTGCTTATTTTCTAACTTATGTGATTTAAGATAAATGAATTAAAAATTTGAATATTAAATTTTCAATGTTCCAGTTAACAATGAGTTTTGATTAATTAATTCAGCAAACATTTATTGAGCACCTACTGTATGTCTGACATTTTTACAAAGTGCTAAAGAACCAGGAAAGGTATAATATCAGTCTTGTTCAAGTAACAAATATTTATGTTAGAGAAAAAATATACAAATACCATTTAAATTTTTATGCATTCCATTCTTTATGTTCATTGACTTGTTAATTGCATTTATAAACATAAATATAAAATTACCAGTTTGATTCAAGCCATTTGTATAAATTTCCATGGAGTATTTGAAACTAAAGTGATATTCTTAATAAGTTTTTATAAAACATATATATATATACATATGCATTCAATTTACATTTCTATAGTTTTATTCTCATTTATCTAAAAGATTTTTTTTTTAAACTGGAGCACTTAAAACTGACATTTGATGGGGCTGGAGTGATGACTCGGTGGTTAAGAACACAGCAGTTAAAGCACCTGGGATCAGTTCCCAACACCCACATGGTGGCTAACAACCTTCCATAACTTCAGTTCCAGGGGATCCAACTCTCTTTTCTGGCCACTGTGAACATCCCATACATGTAGTGCACTTACACACATGCAGGCAAAACACTCATACACATAACATAAATAACAGTTTTTAAAAAAGATTTAAAATTGAACTTTGATGTAAATGAAAAAGACCTAAGGTGAAAAAGAACCATCACAAAATCTGTGTACTTTTCTTTAATAAGAGGTTAAACTTCGTTCAAATCTTGAGGTAGATAATCATGCATAAAACAGCCTCTTTAAAGCAAGATTATCCACCTCTGCAGAGAACCAAGAGGTGCTCACAGTGATCAGAGTGGTTTTGTGTGGGAACCAAACACAAACACCTGCGTGGGAGATGTGCGTGGCTCTACTCTCCCCTTGCCTTGAGAGAGGGCTTTAAGCTAACAAGGCTCTTTAAAAACTGTGGAAGTATATGTTTTCCTTCTGAGACATTCCCTTCTAAATTTTTTTCATCAAAACTGAAATACTTATGCAGAACTCCTCATTACCTGATGACGTGTGTTAAATGGGGAATTACACAATCAAGCTATCATTTATAGACTTTTCATTTGAAAATTTTCATAGAACTTACACACACATCCAGATGTAATTTTCTCTTTAGCTGAAGAACTGGAAAAGACCCTGAAGATTTATCTACTTCTTAGGAAGAATACCATTAAAATATTGTATTAGAATGTGATATGTATATATGTAATTTTGTTTTCTCTACTTGAAGGAAAGATTTTTAAACAGAGTTCTTAACTTGATTTATAAATAACTGTGCAGTGACCAGTGATCTTTCTTCTTGGCTGTGGGCATACAATTTGTCCTGGAAAAGAAATCTTCATTTATTGAGTGCTTTATACATCATGTTTTTGATTGGTAAATAATGTCTGCCACAGGCATTATTTTTATCCTTCCTGCTTTACTTGAATGATGCTATGATTTGTTGGGATAGTCACTTTTATTTCTTTGCATTGGGTGCCAAGAAACTCAGAATCGACTTTTAATTCATCTCTACAAATAAAAGGAATCTTAATGCACATATTGTATCTTAACTTTATCCCTCTCTTTATTTGCAGTTTTATTATCATATTTTTATTAGCCTGTAATTACTCAGATTTACCTACATAAAATACTTATGAAAGTCTAGATTTTGATGAAGAGAAAATGATTGCCAGAGTGTACGAGGGTAACATGTAAAACATTGCTGATCACACTTGCCTTGCAGGGTGGCTGTGAGGATACAATGAAGTGATTGGTGCAAAGCACAGGCATATTACCTGACACATAGCAAGTACTCGATAAATTATGGTGTTTAAAGAGCATGAGTGACCTGCCTAGAAGGGAGAATGAATTTGCTTCCGGTTTTTCCAGCTCTCAGGTAGGTGAAATGCTCATATTGGATTCCATCTTCAGGAACTGATTCTCTGACAATGGGGACTAGGAGGCCACCCTATGCTCAAGTTTCCTTGTTTCAAATTCTCTCTGGTGGTGAACTTCCTCCATGGAATAGGACCATACAACCGCATGAGGGGATAACAAGGTGGGCTTTGGAGACAGGAACACATTGGACTTCTTTCTTGTGCAAGTGAAGGAGCCACTTGCTTTCCCTACTGGGGGCACTCCCATACATTTCTTAATAGAGAAAAACTCATTTTAGCTTTATTCTGTTGAATTTTCAGATGAGAAATTTAAAAACAATATTTCAGCCTTGATGATGCTTATCAGTTATTTTAGCCCACAGTTTCCTACAGAAAAAATTCTGATTAAAAAAATGACGAGTATAAGATACTCAGATGTGTCATGGCTGCAAGTCATAGTAAAATGGCCAGTGAGGTATAAATTCAATACCTTAAAGAAATATAAAGAAGGGTTAAGGCTCAAGAAAGGCAGCAATGTGAGTAGGTGAAGAAATGGGACAGTAAGGACTTGTGGAGGTCAAGTTTTATTTTAAACTCAGATTCTTTATAGTAAACCCATTTTAATGGAAAGAAGGTCAGGAACTTTTTTTTTTTTTTTCTCAAGAGCAGGTAAAAATTACTGGGAAATGGCTGGGGGTGCCGACAACACAGTGGACAGTAACAGGGATGACAGAGTATATGGGCTCCAGTGTGTGGGAGGGGAGGCTATGGGAGGGTGCCATTTGGGAAGTAGGTATATAGATGAATAAATTGTTTGGGATGTTCTGTGTGATATACACACACAAAAAATCAATAAATTTTACAAAAGAAAAAAAAATTCCTGGTTTTATTTGGGAGGTCTAGCAGGTGTCCATGCCTCTATTCTGCAGACCTGATGACTACTATCCAACATTTCAGAGCAAGAATCTGCCTTGAGCCCTTTCAACCTGTAAAATTGCACATTTATTCATTCATGGCTCTACCCACGTTATTTTATAATTTGTTTTGTTTTGTGTGTGTACATGTATGTGTGTACACGTGTGTGTGTGTGTGTGTGTGTGTGTGTGTGTGTGTGTGTGCACAAGTGCAGGCCAGAGTACAACTTGCAGGAGTTGGTGCTTTCCTTCTGTCATGTGACTCCTGGGATCAAACTCAGGTCATCAGGTACCTTTACCTGTTATCTTACAGGCCAGCCCTTACCTACATTAAAAGCATTCGTATCAATGTAAGAGGCCTTTCCTGCCTGAGTTGCCTCTCACACTTCTTACCCTGTGAACCTCCCAGTCATTTTTAGATCTTGGTGCAAGCCTCCCTTTCTTGGGGAAGCCTTGCCTCTCTCCACTCCAGGTGGTTAGGTCTTTCTGTTGTATCCCCTGAAAGAATCTCCTCACTTCAGATACCATGTTATGTGCTTAATTTCTTGACTCCCCACTAGCCCATGAGCACCCTGGGTGTGGGCACTGTTTCCTTTTCCTCACTGTTTATCCCTAGCACCTAGCACAATTGCCCAGAACACAAAAGACCATAGAACCACAAAGGTGCAGTTCTAGTCCTTGACTGTATATCTACCTGTCTAGCTATTGTCTTCTGGGGTAGAATTGAGGAAAGATTTTTTTTTTTTAAATTTCATGTATGAGTGTATTGCCTGCACCCATGTTGTACAATGCCAGCGGAGGCCAGAAGGCATCAGATCCCCTGAAACTGGAGTTACGGACAGTTGTTAGCTACCATGTGGGTGCTGGGAATTGAACCTGGGTCCTCTGGAAGAACAGTCAGTGCTCTTAACTGGTGAGCCATCTTTCCAGCTCAAGATTTTCTTTCTTTGTAAGCACAAACTATTTGCCTATTTGGATTTAAAGATGTGTCAGTTTATATTTACATAAGCAGGTGCATTTGCCGCTGAAATTATAGCTGTTCTACACAAGTAGGTATCCTTTTTTTTTTTTTTCCTTGCTAAAATAAGATCCCCTTTCAAGCCCTGTGTGCAGTTCTGTATCACTGTGGTGATGGTGGCTTCTTTTCCTGTCTCCTGCATCCTCTGGCAGCTCTCCATTTGACCTTGGCAGAGGTCAGCACAGTGTTCTGACCCGGTCTGGGCATAGTCAAGAACAAATCATGGTGTGGCCAAGGTGCTTTGCTAGAGGTCATTTTGTGACCTGCTTCACACAGCTTGCCAAGGATCGCTTGGTTGGCCACAAACTGTTGAGAAAGGGTTCCCGGTGCTGCCTGGCATCAGAAATATCCCAGGTTCGTCATTTTGCTTCAGGGGAGGGCTCGGGCTTTCTGAGGCTCAGGAAACTATTAAAATGATTTCTTTTAAAGGAGCCTGTGATACTGAGGCCCTGCAGCAATGTCATTATATACAGTCAAGCTTTTTATAAGAATTAAAAATAATTAACTTGCCAAACTGAGTCTTGGAGATGCAGAAGGATGAAGTTATTGTGAAGGGTCTGGTACAACCCTTGAATTTCTATCTAAATTTGTTATGAAGCTTTGTAAAACTACACCTGTCTTACCAAATCCAACTCTCTAGCAGGATGTTCCACCTTTCAGTGAACCTTTAAACTATGGTACAGTTTTTTGGGTTTACTAAATATGGAGCAAAATGCATGAATGTGCCTTTTAAAAGAGGCGATGGGGCTGGAGAAATGGCTTAGCAGTTAAGAGCACTGGCTGCTCTTGCAGAGGACC